AGCTCCAACATAGCACCACCAATGCTGGTTTCATCACATGGCAAAAAATGCTCATTTGAGTTTTGTCAACTGGGCACGAGTGAGAGTCACTTGACAATAGAGAATTCAACTGGTACTTCAACCAGACTGAACTGTAAGAAAGTCTTTATGTAAGTCACTTTTGATTTATGATTGATGTGTGAAGGCCCAGTTATGTGTGGACAGTATGACCCCTGAGCAAGTGGTCCTACCTTGTATAACAATAAGCAAGCAAGCTGAGGGAGTCATGCAGAGCAAGCCAGCAAGCAGTATTATGTGGCTCTGCTTCAGTTCCACCTGACCCACCCAATGGCAATCCTATGATCCCGTCATATTTTCCAGTTGCTGCTGACCATCTTCTATTGTCCCTAGCATATGACTAACTAGTTATGTCTGATTGTGTTAGAATTGCCCATTTTTGTCTACATTCTGGAATCAAATTATCACTCTGAAAATGTAAACAGTATTAGAAGTCCGGTGTCAGTCCTCTGATCAAGTTCATTGTGATAAGTTTCTGAATTAGTTCACCCATTTCCTTGGCTTCAACTACCATCTGAACTGTGAACAATTGTTACTCTTCCAATGTTCACATTCCACAGTCCACAATTTGCTTTTAAATATTCCTTATTGTCATTTGTCAACATAAGAATATAGAGGGATGACAATAATACTTCCTTGTTAGGAATCTGGCAAACCACAATATATATTTGAGTCTTGCTCTTTATATAGTAGGAATAAAACATACATTGTGTAATTTTTCTTGTTTTAAATTCCTTCTCTGGATTCCCTCAACAATGTACTGGAAGCTGTAAGATGAAATACATCTTTTCCTCATGTCACTTTTACCATGGTGGTGTTTATCACAGTAATTGAAAGCAAGCTATGTCGAGGGGATTAAACCCATGATTTTGGACTTGCTAAACAAGCACTGTATCAATTGAGCAAATGCAACTGGAGAGGAGACAGTTTATTCAACTCATACTTCCTTATCTTTCATAGCCCATCATCAGAGGAAGACAGGAAAGGAACTCAAGGCAGGTACCTGGAGGCAGGGCCTGAGGCAGAAGCTACAGAGCTGCTTACTGGTTTGCTCCCCATGGAGTGCTCAGCCTGCTTTCTTATAGCACCCAGAGTCACCTTCCCAGAGGATATACTGACCAGAGTGGTCTAGGTCCTTCCATTTCAATTAAAACTCAAGAACAGGTACCACAAGCTTGCCCACATGACGGTATTGTCGAGTATTATGTCAAATGATATTTCTTCTTCCTAAATGACTTCAGGTTGTGTCAAGTTGACATATAACTATCCAGAACAGTTACCTAGTCTAGTTTCAATCCCATATCCATGAAACATAAGCTCTAATTTAGCATACACTATCTGCTTTATCTGAAACTACAAGAAACATCTACCATCTTTTCTTGTAATTGATAGGAGACATCAATCATCTGTTAAATGATGGTGAGTATACAAAGAGGGTTAGGAAAGAAAATAGCTTCCATACTTTTGTGGTTTTTCTCTCCTTTCTATAATATCTCACATAAAACTTTACATACTTTTTTATAGCTTATATATGGTTACAGAATCACTTTAGAAATAATGGTCAGAACATGAGGCAGATGATGCCATAAAGTTCAAGGTCTTTATATCCTGAACTCAAGTCTTTTAATCATTTCTCCAGAAGAAAATGTTGCTGACAAAGAAAATCATCCATTAAAAAATGCCCAGAGTAATTCTAAAGCAAGAGACACTCTTTTACTGTTTAGAAGCCATTTCAATCTATGGTCAGAACAAATTTCAAAGATTGTTGTGGTTATTATTTTATGATCACATTCTTCTATTGATTGTATTCCAGTCTCCTGGTGGTGTCTCATTCATGGGAGAATTAAAAATCAAAACAACAACAACAAAAACCATGTTAGGCATGTTTAAGAACTTCATCAATTAAATTACAAATGTATGTTATTGTATGTGATTATTTTAATTTTGTATTTTGAAATATTGAATTTGATCACAAAAGCTGAGAATAGTTTTTATTTAAAAGAGTTGTAGTTAATGGCTTTATAAAGCAGAAGCATTTTTTGAATGAATAATTGTCCTTAATTTGTGTGATTTGCTAATAATTTTCTCACTGTGGGATTTTCTCCTTTAAAGGCTCATGATTGGGAGGCAAGTAAAATAATATGAACCCTGTGAAACTATATCTTAGTATATAGTAAACTATAGTAAAATAGTACTTTATTTTGTGACTTAATAATCAAGGAGGATAAAAAATATCTTGTGAAAAACAGTACGATGTCTGAAAACAGGAGCAAAAACCCAAATCTCTAGTAAGATTATTTAAATATACATGGCCTAAAAACAAGGCTTCAAGGCTTAGCAATCCCCAAGAAGACGCAATCTGTGACAGAACAACTGTCTATATTATCAGCAAATACACTAGTATGAACTGAGCAATATTAGGTCTAGTTCATTGAATTTCCAGACACACACACACACACACACACACACACACACACACACACATATATATTGCTATAAACTAGGGAATACAGAAATTCCATCCACTTATAGGGAGGAGGGAGATTTTACATGTGAAACTTTTTTTTTTTTTTGATTTTTCGAGACAGGGTTTCTCTGTGTAGCTTTGGAGCCTATCCTGGCACTCGCTCTGGAGACCAGGCTGGCCTCGAACTCACAGAGATCCACCTGCCTCTGCCTCCCGAGTGCTGGGATTAAAGGCGTGCGCCACCAGTGCCCGGCTACATGCGAAACTTATAGCATAGATCTTGCTATACAATGAGGAATGTGCAAACACTAGCTATTAGGATAGCATTTATCAGGAATATCAAGTGGAAATCTTATTATATTGTAGATGACTCCTTGCTTCATGAATGGTTTCCATATCTCTGAAAAAGGAAGCAACTCATAGGAACACATGAATGTTTTATAATGGCTATCTAATATCTATAAAATACAATTAAAGCCATTTTAGACATGAATGAATAAATGATTGAATGTTCACACCTGGAATAGTGGGTATATTTGTATGTGTTTATGTGTGTGTGTGCATGTGCACACATGATTGTCTTAAAAAGAGATGAATACCTCATATAGTAGCGGCAAAGTATTAATGATATTCTGCCCAGACAATGACACTTCCTTGATCTGAATTGTTGCTAGTTCTGGATAGCTGGCTCTTGAAAAGGCAGTGAGAACCAAAGAAGACCCTTTGTATTAGCTCTGTTTCATCTTATGATTCCTTTTGGTGGAAGTATTTAATTTAATATGCATTCTCCTGACCAAAGAATATGTTATTCAATCTATGTCTTTTGTGCAGCCTCCAGATATGACAACACTTTAACTTCAAAGCAATTTTTTGGTAATATAAAGGTATAGGTTGCCTTTCTTGTTCATTTCATGCCACTGTGTCAAGTTCATAATGAAACGTCTGCAAAGTGGTGCACTTTCTAAGAAAACGGCCAAGCTGTTAATGAAGTAGATATCTTTTAATTTACAAACATCAGTAACGTAACCGATATTAGTCTGGAGAAAGACAAACCATCCCAAATTATATATGTACATCTAATTGTCATTGTTAAAAAGGGTTTTTCTTTTAAAGAAACATCTGCATCTTCACAGGGCTCCCTGGGATTTTCATGAAGGAAGAACACAGTCCACTATAAATCATTATCAAGTCTACATTGTAATAGAAGCAAACTTGTTAACATGGGAGCAGTTTTATTGTTTGGAGAAAAAATTACAATTTTTGACATAACAGTCTTTCTTCTCCCCCCTTCCCCAAAGCATGACAGGGAAATATTTATTAATTAATTTTTAAAACATCTACTCTCTATTGTCCATTGCTACGGATAATTTTTCCTCCTGTGAGGACATATGGCAGATGGGTGCACTTGCTGTCACTATTCATAGCCTTGTAAAACCTCTGCAAGTGTCCTATAAGAGGCCACAGGTCAGTGACATCAGCGGGCAGATGTCAAGGTCAACCAAGAGAACAACATATACCTATCCCAAGATAACAAAATAACATCCTATGTTAGTACTATTGCCAAAAAAATCCTGATTTTAAGTTTGAAAATGTACAAAAATATCAGGATAATTATAAATTAATATATATTAAAGCATCAAGACACAGTCCAAAGTGATGACCTAAATCGTTAAGTACAATGTACTTTAATACAATAAATATTCCTCGTTGAAAATGAATACTGTATAGGGCTATTTAGAACTCATAAAAACAAAAATTCATATTATTACTAATTTTTTATTTATCAATAATCTATTGGTTCTTTATCATCTCCTTTATCATTTATATTACAAAACTTTAATACTGGAAAGTGGTAGATAAACACCTTTGTGTGCTGTTTCTGCTGGTATACTATCGTTGCCAAAGACAATAAAATACATCCCAGCACTCCACACCCATTTTTCTCCTAAATGGAACCCAGATGTCAGGACACTTTCTATCTTGCAGAAAATATTTCTCATCCCTTGGATCTATCTACAGGCTCTGGATTTCCATTCCCCTGCCTCACAGTCTCATTCAGACACTTGTGCTTGATGTGTTCTTGTGAACTGCACTGATGTGAAGGGGGTCATGGGTTTTATGCTCTGGGCAATTGCATGTGAGTGTGCAGTCCCATGTTAGGCTCTTATATATGTGCTTCTGCTAGTATTAGCATGTTCCAAAGATGGCTCCGTGTTGCAATGGTCCCCACCACTGCACTAATGCCTCCAAGTGTGGCTTTTCTTCACACTTTTCCAGTGTAGGGGAAGCTTTAGTACAAGTGTGTCTTTTATTATTTTTTTCCAAATGCAGCGAAGTCTTTATTATCATAATAAAAATAAGTCTGTTCTGTATTTTACAATATATTTCAAATATTTCCATTATGAAGCATGAATTAGTCCAACATGATCAGGAAGTGTATATCCTTCGCCAAAGATGGAAGCTGCTAGAAATGCAATTAGGAGGCACATCTCGTGCAGCCGCACTTCACCACCTTCTCAACCTCTTCCACAAATGAGGATCCGTCTGTGCATTCGAAGGAGTATTTCCGCCTTTTGCTCCGCAGAGGTCCACAGCACTGACCACCAGCACACCCGCCGTTACATTCCAAGCGAGATACTTTCTTCGTTGTTTGGCAGGCAGCGTAACCCTGCTGCTTTTGGTAATAATCTCTTATCCTTTCCCCTCGACAAGAAATTTCTAGAAAAGAACAAGGAAATAAGAACATTTTAAAAGACAGACATTGTAAGGTTTGTAGACTGACTGAAAGAAAGTCAAGATCTCCATATGGTGGTCACTGTCCTTCGTTTCACTTTGTAACTGCTGTTTTTAGTGTGATGCTTGAAGTTCATATTATGGACTCCTGGCATGATCCAGTCTTCCTTGAAAAATGCATTTTTTAGGCCTCTATTTCCAGCAAAGTGAATGCTATATATGTAGACAATAAATATAAAATGTTTGTCTGACAAGAAAATTGGATTCCTAAATCTTTTCCTTTATTGCAAAAAAGGAGAAAAAAATACACATCTTCTGTTTCTACAGGACTAACAGCTGGTTTTGTTTACCACAGGGAGCAGTTTCATAGAGAATGCAATTTAATTTATTAGGCCCAGAATTTAATATTATCCAGTATGTTACTTAATACAAGTAACATTCCACTAACTTCATAAATTATGCTAGTATGAAGTAGTTCAAAAAAGAGACATCTGTGAAAGCTTCCTCAGGCACGTTCCTCTTATTGTCCGAAGCACCAAAGTCTATGCCAGCTGGAGGCCAGGCAAGTTCTGATCTTGGAAACAAAGCAGGGAGAGGTGGGTTGAAAACTCAGCCGGCTTCCATCCCTCTCACCTGCCTAATTTATTGTGATAAATCAGTGGATTCTAAGGCTAAGGGTGATTTTGTACTCAAACTAGAGCAGAGTTACCATCTCCATAGTCTCTATGTCTGAAACTGGATTAGTAATAAGTGTGGGGGAGGAGATCAGGCCCAGGCTGAAGGTGATCTGGGCAGCTGTGCTCTGAAGAAGGGAAAAAAGATACTTTCCACAGCAAGTCAATTTGGGAGAAGATGTTCCATGGCCTTAGAGGAACCATATGGTAGGAGTTTAGAAGCAATCAACAACAGTAGCAACTAGCTGCTCACACCCAAGTGTTTCATCACCACACTCTATCTCTTTCACCAGGTATGAGACTTCCCTCCTGCTCTGTGAAGATGAGGAGGTGCCTAGCTTACCTTTATCACAGCTATCCCCAGTGTATCCACTGCTGCATTCACAATAGGGCTGCCCGAGGCCAGAGAGCCTACACTTTCCATGCTTGCACTTGATCATCTGGCAGGGGTTAAACAGGTCTTCTTCTTCATCACAAAGGACACCCCCATGGCCCTCAAGGCACTTACAGCTGTAGGAGAAGGCATTGATGGGCAAGCAGGTGCCGTGTACACACCTGTTGTGAAGGAGAAGCATAGGAATGAAAATAAGGCTGATACAGGAGTTCAGAAGGTACAGTGGTTAGGCAAAAATGTCTGAATACAGAGAACAGAATTCTAATGTGCTGATTTCTCTAGGTCCCTACCTTTGCCCTGCCAAACTCCTGCCTTCTTAGATTTACTTTGAGAATTTAGCATATGTGCTGAGTCCCGAGGCACTGGAACTTACTTGTTTCCCAGGCAGGGGTCATTGGTTCGCTGGTCACAGAGGGGCCCCTTCCACCCTTCCTCACATTCACAGGTGAAACCTGATTGGCTGCTAGGCTGGCATGTGCCATGGGCACATACTTTCTTGTGGCACGGTTCACAGCCAGGCAGAATTCCAGTTTGCATGGGCACTTTCCGGAAGTCCTGCAGCTCACTGTTGATGTAAAGGTTCCGGATACAGCCATGGAAGCTGGTGCCGTTCTGTCCAGGGGCCTGGCGCAGTGATGCCACATTATTTTTCCCAGGCATGCCTAGAAAGAAACAGCATGTCAGTTAAGAGTCTTCATAGGTTCCTCAGCCAATTGCTACAGAGAAATCCTGAGGTCCATTAGTCCACTTTTATTAAATTGGAATATGTGTCCTCAGATGAGGAGGTAGAGAAAAGCTCCACATCTGGTTTCTTGTTTTGGTAATACGCAGTAGGTTATTCTAACTTTTAACTAAAGTAAACCTGGTTTATTGGTGGTAAGCTTTTAATTTGTAAATATGTTTCAAGCCAAACTTGTAATATGTATGAACAAACACACACACACACACACACACACACACACACACACACACACAGATCCTCAAGCAGGTCTACTCAAAAAAATTAGAAGCAGATATTGTTTTTTCCATTCCCTATGGGGCTATACCAGACACCATGCACACTGGGAAGCCACAGTTTATAATTCTCTGATTAACTCTTTTTCTAATTATAAAATCAAAGGATAGAGTTTAGAGAGCTTGAGCCACAGGTTCCATGCCACTCATGTCAGCATTTTGCTGATTGCCTAAACTTCTTAACCCTGGAGCCCAGATTCGGTCTACCAAGACTCTGAGAGTGAGAGCTGGGGATCACAGTAACCCACCTCAAACCTGTCAAATTCTGACTTATCAACTAACCCAGCACCTCAAGGATGCCTGTGCCTGAGAAGCTCATTTCTACTTCTTATCAGGATAGCACCTCATTCATACCATGTTTTTTTTTATTTCTACTTAGAATGAAGCTTTTATCTCAGAAAATTTAAAAAACGCAGAATAAGTTCCATCACAAACAGTGTTTGTAACCCTGGGGTATATACATTCCAGAAGTGACAGTCATGGTAACTTATTTTGGCAAAGTTGGAGAAACTTTCCATGGACCTTTCCAGACCCTGAAATAGTTCCTTCACAGTACCATACAGAGGACACTTCTAGGACACTGGATGAGGAGATGGGAGGCAGTTGGAAGCCTGTGAGCTAATGACTTGGCCCCCACTGTTCATGCTTCAATTGTGTTAGGACTCTGAGCTACTGCTTGGGATTATAGGCTGGACAGATTTCACTGGTTACAGGGTGGGCTTCATTCTCCAGGGGACCATTACATTTTAGGGTTCTTTTTCTCTGCCATCATTTCCTTTCCTAGGCAAAGAACCCTATTTGAGTATTGACAGAGGCACTAAAATCAGACACTAGTCTAGAGGTCAAGTGTCTAATATTGGTTGAATATTTCATGGTTAATCTTCAATATCAAATTGACATGATTTAGAATCACTATGTGTCTGAGTTTCTTTTTCTGATACTGTTGTAAAATACCCCCTGACCAAAGCAACACAAGGGTGAAAGGCTTATTTCAACTTTCAATTCAAGGGTACAGTTCATCTTGGCAGCGAAGTCAAGGCCACAGCCGTTTGAAGCAGCTGGTCACACAACATGCAGAATCAGGAAGCAGAGAGGGAGGGAAGCTAGTACTCAGCTCACTTTATAAATGTTAGAGTCCTGGCTCCCCACCCAGGGAATGGTGAAACTCTTATTAGGACGCCTCTTCCCACATCAATTAGCTTAACACAATTCCTTTCATGTATGCCCAAAGGCTAAGTAATCCCCCACTGGGAAATACAACTCAGGGTATAGGCATAAAGGTTTAATTCAACAAGGAAGACATATCATGCATGTGGGTGTTAAAGTATCATGGGCTTAGATCTTAGGCTCCATACAAAGAAGAAACACCATTGAGTGTTCACAGTCATCTCACTCCATTTCCTGTCTGTTTCGATGTTCAAAGTGTATCTTTCTGGCCTCCCTATTCTGAGATGCTGATATTATGTGGAAGAGAACAAGTTCAGAATTCTAAATGCCAACATGAAACATATTATTCTGACACAGGGGCTCATGGTCATACTAGAACAGGCCCTGGGGTCTATGCCTTTAATTTAAAGATCTATGAATAAAGACATTTCCTCAGCATATGTCTGGCCATGGAGAATGTGATACTATACCAAGACTGAGGCACACAGTTCACCATTTTCAGGGGAGTACAAGTTATAGGAAATTCTTTCCTGTGGGGAAAGTTTTTCTAAATTGTGTTCATCCATCACAAACATATGAACTTTAATGACCCTCATTTTGGGTCATTTCTTAAAACAGTTAAAAATGAACTTCTTCTAAAGCTATTTTAAATTCTCATTTTGATGGAGATGTAATGTTTATTCATGCACATATCCAATCTAAGTTGAGATTGGCAAAGGTTCTCAGCAGTGAGAAGTAATGAATGAACTTGTTTCATTTAGTCCCCAAAGCTTCCAACTACAGAGGGTATGGTTTTGATGGTGAAAATCTATACAGCAGCATAGCTAATACCAGGTACAGACTCAACTTTTAATAGAATGTAAAATCCCTACCTTTTCTTGATTATTTTTGGATCTGGGCTTTGACCCAAACACCTCCTGAATACTAAGCACACGTTCTACCCTGAATAATCCCTCTAACCAAGAATTATTCTGGGTCATTCCTTTCATTTGCTTAGGCAGAGTGCTTGTTTTTAGCTAATAAACAGAAGCAGATCTGTATTTTGAAATCTTTTGTTCAAAGGTGAAACTATTTGGTGATATCTGGGCTATATAGGTGTCTGTATAGCCTAGACACCATTATCTGTGTCTTACTCCCCTTTGACAGTTAAGTAATAAGTGTTCTAGTTCAATTGTTAGATGGAAAAACATTAACATTTTATGGTTTGTGCTCCATAAAGACAATATCACAAATAGTAAATAATGCAGGAGCATGCATAGCTGTGCTACTAGTTTGCATTTTCTCAGAGAATGATTCTGCTATGGCCCAGTATCTAGGAGATATATGTTACTATCCTCTGGGACAGCTCTGGTTTTAAGTAGACTTAACCTTGATTTCTCTATGTTGACTCAGCTCCTCTTGCCTCTGCCATGTGACAGTCAGGCTGTGGTCTTGTGGGTTCCTTGTATTTTAAATTCTGAACTACCACTGAGACCACAATCTGGGGAGGAAGTAGATGGGCTCAGTGTGTTCTCTGGCAGTAAGGCTGATACCAAGATGGTTACCCTGAAGCTTCACTATTCAGAAGAATCTTCTGGATTCTTCCAAGACCTCTAGCCTCAGAAGGATTTGCACTTTTCAATTGGGAGTTTAATTTTTGTCCCTGTTTTAAAAAAGTCCTGTCTTAAACAATTTCATTTGTATTAAAAAAAAACTGAAAACCATATTCCAAAAGGGTCTTAAAGCAGCCATTGAAATATATTTGAATAAAAGCACCATGAAATCAAGTCAAGAACAAATTCATAAGTAATTTGATGTTTTTAAAAAGGTAAGTGGCAACACAGGTGGCATTGGTATGAGAAAGACATGGATTGAAATAATTGCCTACCATAATTTAGTTTTGCAAACTTGAGAAAGTATTATAAAGTTCTTGAGGCTGCTGCTTTGAGGCTATGAAATAGAGAAAGTAGTTACCTTCTAGTTTTATTTCAATTTTCTCTTAAAATAAAAGGTTGAGCCACTAAAAGCAGTGCCATATAAATAACAAAAACAGTATTTAAAAGAGAAAAAACACTATGTTGGTTATGGCAAATGCTTAAAATATATAACTCATCCTTTTTATTTCATGGTTAACACTCAACTGTGTTCACTGCAGTATAGGTGAAAACAGAAACTTAAGCTGGAGGCAATCTCAGAATGGAGAGGGGAGGTGGTACCATAACCTAGGATCCCTTGCTGGAAGGGATTCTAGGTTAGTGCTGGAAGAGGGAAGTTTTATTTAAAGTGAAACCCCAGGTAAATTGAGCAAGCTCTAGTGGACGGCACACACTGAAGAATTATGGGCAGCACAAACTGTACTTCCTTTGTTTTTGTTTTTGGACAGACTTGAGTGGCTAGAGAATGGGGGATAGATAAAATACTTCCTTTGTTTTTGTTTTTGGACAGACTTGAGTGGCTAGAGAATGGGTGATAGATTTAGAAGGCATAGAGGGAGGGATCAATATGATCAAAGCACATTGTACAAAAGTTTTCAAATGGCTAATTTGAAAAGGAGTCTTATAATACCCATAGCTGTGAGTCCTATGAACCAGTGATGCCAGCCAGCTTACTGGATACAGTCAATCTGCAAGACCTTAACTGTCATGTCACTTCAGTGGCTCAGAAGTGTGTCTGCATGCTTCATGTTTCTGGGACTAGAAGGGACATTTAGTTTTCAACTTTGTGACATAGATCATCCATTAACTTGGTACCCAGGATACGGTAGATTCCTCATAAGCATTGATAGAATTGAGTCAAAGGTCCTGAACTTTTTTTAGCCTTTTCTAGTAGCATCAATGTTCCATGATTTTTAATTATTAAAATTATTAAAAATGGAAATATTCAGGATTTAGGGGAAATTATAAGAAACAGTTTTGTAGAAGATTTGGGATGATTAACATAACTGAATAGCATCCTGAAGTTTGTCTTTGGGTTAAGCAGTTCATAAAGATACTTGTTCTGATAAAGAAATAGCTGTGTTGATCTCTTTAGAGGCTTTAGTTATCTGTTAAATAAGTTAATTTTATTAACTTGATAATTTAATTTATTGTATTTCAATTCAATATCATCAGCCTTATTTTCTTTTTCCAATTTTGCAATTCTTCTCCATATTAAAATTTCTCTTCCAGGTAAGGCAATGGTAAGAGTTCTGTTCTCTATAGATTTTCTCAGTTGGACTCCTTTATCTCTCTTTGTCTCTCTGGCTCTGTCTCATTCTCTCTCAACTTCATTCTTACTGCTTACAGGAAGACTTGGAGTTGCACTGTATCATTCCCAATACTAGCTTACCTTGCCAAGGTTCTCTCTTTTTCCTTCTCTGTGAGAGCCTGTCTAAGCAAATAAACTTTCTACTAGTTGGATAAACTTTTAAAATGTGAATCACTGATTATTTCATTGAGTTTCATTGACAACTGATCTATCATTTGTATGAACTTCCAGAAATATCAGCATGGCAACATTGCATTAAGCTGATATTATCTGCCTCATTAAGACAGCTAGATTGGAGACTTCTCCTTCCTACTTTGCACCAAACTTGTTTAATCACCCTCTCTCTCTCTCTCTCTCTCTCTCTCTCTCTCTCTCTCTCTCTCCCTCTCCTCCTCTCTCTCTCTCTCTCTCTCTCTCTCGGGCGTGTGTGTGTGTGTGTGTGTGTGTGTGTGTGTGTGTGTGTGTTCAGGTGCATGAATACATGTGGTACATGCATGTGTGTTTGGAGGCTAGAGAAAAATTTCTGGTGCCTTTCCTCAGGAGCCCTGTAGCATTTCTTTTGGAATAGGTTCTCCCTTTGCCCTGGACCTCACAGAGTAGGATAGGTAAACAAACAGATCTCCTAAGCCCTAGGGATCTGCTTATCAACTTCCTCAGCACTGGGATTGTAAGTGTAGAACAATGCCTGACATTTCACATGGGTTCTCGGTATTTAAGTCAGGTTCTTGAGCACTTTCTATCTTAGGTGTCTCTCCAGTCTTCTTTTTTTATCATTCCCTAACTTGATCTCTAACCAATTTTCTGCCTTGTTTGCAGACAGATATGAAATTAAATGATACTATATATAAATTACCTAGCTAGCATGCCACAGATGAAGAACTAATGTCCTTCTCTGGCCTGATGACAAACTGAGTTAGACCCAGAATCAAGGTGACTGAATGGTCCTTAAGAGACACTTCCACCTCTTTCTGATTTATGCTTGTTGGCCAATTACAGTGACTGATCAGTGTCAATGATCACCAGGTACCAGTAACTTCAGATTTGATCTATAATGAGAAACACAGAGTTGGAAGACCACTGCATTTGAAAGGACGTTCACCTCCTACATAAAGTGGGGAGTCAAAATTCAGAGTAGATTGCTTTGACAAGTTGGTGATGATTTTAGGACTTCCTCCATCCACGGAGAGGGAAAGACTGGAATCCAGGGCCAGGAGCTCCACAATGTGGAAGTTTCCATCATTGATTGTTTCCACACTGCAATGGAAGAAAATAAACAACTTAACTGGAAACAAGGTTAAAATACAAGCTTCAATAAACCCAGCTTTAGAAGAGAAATTCAGAGCAGACATTAAGGAAATTGACTTTTAAAGGATATTCTGAAGGAGATAAAATTAATTTTGATTTCTCAGGATTTGAACACAAAATAAACTTGTTCTCCCACTGAGAGAAAGGGAAAGAGTACACTCATTACTCAGCCACTTCCACTCCATTTGTGGAATTCACAAATGACAACTTATTTGTTTTTCTTTTAAAGGACATAAAAGTTCCATTTACCAAGAGACAGTCTACAGCTCCAAATGGTACTAAAAAGAGGCCTGCACCTTCTCTAGAGGCTCTATAGGACTGCTGGATTTTGCAGTGTGACACAGTGTGTTAGCACCTATCAGAGTCAAGATGCAGAGGAATACAAGAAGCAAGTTGACAGGATCTCTGCACTTTTACACATTTGATAAATTAAAAATATACTTTCATTTCTTGTGCATTTTGGAGGGATGCTTCTGGAGCTGTATTACTGTGAAGAAATCATTGTTCAATTAAGAGATGGGATTGATAAGTTAAATAAAATGTTTAACATAGTCAATATGACAGTGTTTTTTTTCTTTTTAAAATATGTAAAATAATCACAATATTTCCCCCTTCCTTTTCTACCTTCCCTTTCTCATATGCCCTGATTTGCTTGTTCAAATTTGTGGCCTCTTTTTCTTTATTTTGCACACACACACACACACACACACACACACACACACACACACACACACTCACGTTTTCCTTCTAAAAAACCTTTGAGAGAAAAATATAAATTCGTGACATGTATAAAAGTAGAAATATTAAGGAAGGAATGCTAATAGACAATGAAGATCCAGATATAAAATGAAATTTGATTCAATTGTTTAATAGGTATTGTATGTTTTTAAGTTATGTTTATGCCATAATTAGCTTTTATTTCAAACTGGCTTAGAAAAGAGGCAGGGGCATATCATTTGGAGCAGGCCTCACCCTCCCTGGGCAGCAGAAAGGTGTTGGGATAGGGGGTCAGTGGGGAGCAGGGGAGGAGGGGAGGGAAACTGGGATTGAAGTGTAAAAGAAGCTGGTAAACTGGGGGCAGGGGAGGGGGAGGGGGAGGGAAGGGGTTGGGGAATGAGAGCATGAGGGAAAAGGATGCTTGAGTTGGAGGAGGGATGGAGAGGGATAAAAGAGATATCATGATAGTGGGAGCCATTATGGGGTTAGAGAAAACCTGATGCTAGGGAAATTCCCAAGAATCCACAAGGATGACCCTAGTTAAGACTCCTAGCAATAGTGGAGAGGGTGCCTGAACTGGCCTTCTTTAATCAGATTTGTAACTACCCTCATTGTCATCATAGAACCTTCATTCAGTAACTGATGGAAGCAGATGTACAGATTCTTCAGCTGATCTCCTGAAGCTATATTGAGGAGAGGGAGTCAGGATTATATGAGCAAGGAGGTGTCAAAATCATGATGGGGAAAACCACAGAGACATCTGCTCTGCCCTGCATGGGACCTAACTAGGCCCTCTGAATGTGGGTGACAGTTGTGTGGCTTGATCTGTTTGTGTGGTCCCTGACAGTGGGACCAGGATTTATCCCTGATGCATAAACTGGCTTTTTGGAGTCCAGTTCCCTTGCTCAGCATTGATGCATCAGGGAGGGCCTTGATCCTGCCTCAACTTGATATGCAAGACTTTGTCTTCTCCCCATGGGAGGACTTACTCATCATCTGAGGTGTGGATGGGGTGTGGGGGAAAGGGTGAGAGGAGGGGAGGGAGAGAAAACTGTGGGTGGTATGTAAAATGAATAAAAAATTTTAAAAAATTAGCAAGATGATTGCTCACTGCCATTTCAGGAACACTCCCACAATTCAGTATGCAGACAAAAGATACCACAATAGAAGCTAGTTCAAAACAATAAAGACTGAACATTAAAGACCTGTAATACTGTCTAAAATGGTTTAGAAAAGGTTCACACATTGACATAAGTGAGGGTATAATAGAGACATAATTTGTGAATGTGAATGAATAACACTGGCTACAAAAATAATCGCTCAATTTTCTGCATAAATTTTCAAAGAAGTCAAGCTTAGAAATAACAGAAAAATGCACTAATATTTCTGCATGTTTTCACCAGTAGACTCTAATCGTATCTCACTGTTGACCCAAACCCCCCCCCCCCCCCGCAAATATTGATTTGAGGACAGGTTGGAATATCCTGCAGATAGGTGAGGCTGTTTTAAATCCTTGGTGTAATGGTTAGAAATTCCCATGTCTGTGGCTGTGGAGGTGGCTCAAGGAGCAAAGCACCTGTTGTGCAAGTGTGAAGACATGAATTCACATTCAGCTTGTTGGTACAATATGCTAGTGTAACCCCAGTACCAAAGGAGTGGACACATTTGGATCTTTAGAGCACTTTGGCTAAAAAGCTTAGCCAAATCAGTGAGCAACATACAGTTCAGTGAGAGAGTCAGAGAGTCATGGAGAGGGATACTTGGTTTTAACTTTTAGCTACCATAAGCACAGATACACACACATGAGGACACACTTGAAACACCACACATCACACACACACACACACACACACACACACACACACACACAGAGTAAATATAGTAAAAACAAATTAGATATATCAATTAATATTTTTCCTTCTACACCTTTAATTATCTCAAAACTCAGCAATATTAAAATCAGCAAAGGAGATAATTTACTGCCCAAGTAAAGTTTCACAGTGTAAGGTTGTTTAAATACGAGCATCTTCCTGCAAGAATTTTGGACACAGGACCCAGAATCTAATGCCTATGAATTACAACAACAACCAGCATGAGTGAAATAGTGGTGAATGTATCCTGGTAGTAACCAAAAGCCTCTTATTGTAGTTAAGGCCCTCCCAACAAGAGAGAAATAATGCCTGGAAACCTAGCAAACCACCCCGGGCTAGTGACATCCTGGATCTAAGAGGAGAATCTACAATTACCACTTTCCTATACTAGTATAATCCCTAACTACATTCTACATACTTCTTCTTACACATACATACATAAATGTAACTTTTATCCCTCATCAAATATACTTCTCTTTGCAACAGATAAGCCATTACAGAGAACTACAACTCATCAAAATGCAAAGAACAAGTCATGCTGTGGTACCCAGCAAACTGATCCATCTACAACCCTGTACCTAAGACTTGGGAACATTGTAGAGGAGAGGGCAGACAGCTTAGAAGCCAGAGGAGCAGCATGTGATTGTGTCTCCTAGAAATGATAGGAAAGCTATACCATGGTATCTAAACAACATGGTGCCTACAAAAGGATCTGAACAAAGACTATATAAATAGACATGCTAATATGTAAGGAGGAAATCTTACAAGGCCATAACCTCATATAAACAACTGTACGAACCTAAAGAATGCTGAGAGCAGGAGAAAGAATCTGACCAAGGAAAGACCATACCAAGTAGTCAGTTTGAAATCACGTACACACAAGAAACATTTTTACAACTGTGTATGTTGTACTTACATATTCAGGAGTGAAAAACCTCAGCTATTAAAGAAATAGAGACATGAGTTTGGAAGAGAGAAAGGAACCACTACCCTGGAGGGGTTTGAATTGGGAAAGGGAAGGAAACAAATGATGAAATTATATTGTTCTAAACCCTTTTAAAGATTTATTTTGTATGTATGGCTGTTTTTCCTACATGTAAATCTGTGCATGGCATGTATTTTCAGTGTATGCAGAGGTCAACAGAAGGTATTGAATTCCCTAGAACTGGAGCTGTTGACAATTATATTTTAATTTCAAACAATAAAAAGCAGTTAAGAAAATGACCCTTCTCCAAAGAGATATTCAGTGTTTACTGTTAGCATTTGGTTAAATTGATATAAATTTGGACCTGCAGTCTGCTTTTGCCTTATTAAATGCTTGACAAGTTATTTTATTAAATCTTTCACAGGTTATTTTATGACAACACACTTCATTTCCACCTGGTGAATATTATAAATATTTCCCCACTTCACAGTTAATTTTGCATCAAGAAGAAACAATTTTACAAGCATGCATTGCATACCAAGTTAAATGTCAGATATTAGTTGCACCATCACATTAAGCAGCAACATCATAAAATGATTTTCAAATCTTAAGGAAAAGTTTGATTTAGTTCATTTTATAATGCCACTTAGAAGAAAATGCCAGCCATCAACAAAAATATAACTTCTTTGAGGTATATCTTATTCAGGGTACCAAAAGCTACAAACTGAAGTACTACAGAACCAAGAAACATAACAAGGTTAGTATCTACACATAGTGAAGGTCATAGCCAATGGATGCTTCCCCTGAGATCACATGCAATTTGAGGTGGTTTTCCATGGATCTTCTATAAACATTGGCCTTAATTAGATTATAAATATTAATACAGAGGTATCCCTTTCTCTTTAAAATTGCAAAGAAAAGGCTCACATCTACTGAGGGATGAGCTCTTGGTCACATATTGATTTTAGACAATCAATCCAGACATGTCATTGCTAATGGAGGTATTTGGTGCAGTAAAATTGAGTGGCTTGAGACCTTTAACGTTTTATGCTCCTTAATGCAGTGTTCCAGCTGGGAAGCAAGAGGTAGTGGGGTGTTTCATCAGCAACTCAATTTACTTACTTACTAATCATTTCCTTTCTGTTCCATGTTTTATTTGATATTGAGTTTTACATCTTTAATGCAAGCTAAATTGTAAGCTACTTTAAACTATGGGTCATATATTATTTATTTCTGTATATTTTCAAGCATTCACATGAATATATGATAAATTTTAGATGCTCCATAAACAAGCTATATAATCATCAGTGTAACATATTAAAGGTATCAGAAATTGTTAGTAGTTATAGTACTAGGTAATAGTTATAACCAATAGGCTTCTGACATATTTAGAGTTGCCAAAGATAACACAAATGGCTAAACAGATCTGAAACCAT